AGAAGGACTTCATGCTTGGGAGGGTGGAGGGACAGTGCAGGAGAGGAAGACCCTCTATGAGGTGGATTGATTCAGTGACTAGGGTATTGGGGGTAGGTGTGTCAGAGACAATAACATTGGCACAGGATAGAGGAGGGTTTAGGGCTGTTGTACATAGGGTCGCTATGAGTCACCAGTGACTCAAGCGCACATAACAACAAAAACAACTAGATTTTAAGTCTCCGTGGCATGCCCATGGAATTTTGACAGTGAAATTGTCAAAAAAAGTCAAGACTCTTGGCAACAAATAACAAAATCCCAATTCAGACTCATTCTAATCAGAGAAGCGAATGTAATTATGTAAGTTCCAAAACTGTGGAGTCAAGTTTTAGGTATGGCTAGATCCAGAGACTCATGATATCATTCATCTCTCTTGCCATACATATATCTCTTCCTTTACTCCCACCTCACTCCCTGTCTTTCAAGAGTTATGTGACAGAGATATTGGCTGCAGACCCATGGCACATCAAAACAACTTTTTCAAACTAGGAGTTACCTGAGGACAGAAGTCAGGGAGGAAGGTTTCCAATTGGCCCAAATTGAATTAGGAAAATCATCTTCCTAGGTACTATGTACTACGGCTGGCCATACTTGAAGCATAAGCCCGTTCCTCTAGACCCAGAGAGGTAGAAATAATCCCACCCAAAGCATGACAGTTTATGAATCTGGAGCGCTCAAGTTCCCTTGTGTCCTACTTGCAGTGACTATAGCCAAAATATATATGCATGAGAGTGGAAAACCAACTTTCTCTCAGAGTTCACTCAAACCACAATACCCACGGCCTTAGTGTAGATTCTTTTTAAAAAATAACATTTTTATTTTATACTGGTTTGCTTACAAAGTTCATATACAGTGTTTTTCACACCAGATCTTTCCTATTTCCTTTGCCCACCCCTCCCTTTACCCATCAAATTTTACAACCCTACGATTACTCCACTACCCATTCTCACCCCTCTGCTCCTCCCTTAGTGCAGATTCTGACTCATAGCGACCCTCCACTACTCAGTTTTCCGAGGCTATAAACCTGTGTGCGAAGAGACCATTCATCTTTCCCCGGCACAGACATTGGAGAAATCAAACTGCTGACTTTCCAGTTTGCAGCCCTACACATTCCACAGTATGCCACCAGGGCTTCTTTAAACCACAATAAACAATCTTTTAAAATTATCACCAGGGCTTCTTTAAACCACAATAAACAATCTTTTAAAATTATGTATTTTTTTTAAAAAAAACCAACTAAAAAAAAAAACCAGCTGGCCAGAGGAAACTAAGATAAAGCTGTAAGAACATCTCACTCAAACTCATTGCCTTGAGGTAGGAACTGACCCATAGATGACCCTCCAGAGGGTTGTCAGTGGCAGTAAATCTCATGGGAGGAGATTGCTCATCTGTCTCCCGTGAAGCAGCTGGTGGATTCGAACCAACAAGGGCGTTCAGCACCAGAGCTCCCAAACTCAGTTACATTCAGAATTTGGACCCAGGTCTCTTGACTTCTGGTGGCACAGGGGGTAAGTACTAGAGACTGCTAAAGTGAAGGTGATGAGTTTGAAGTCTACAAGAGAACCATGTGGCATCGGATTCTGAAAAGAATCCTTTGAAACTGTGGGGCAGTCTCTCACTCTGTCTTATCGGGTCAGAAACATGCAGCGTGTTCTGTTGTACACAGTTGCTGAGTCTGAGCGGGAAAGACTTGAAGACACCAAATGGCAAAGGTGAGTCTGAATGGACACAGGACAACAGGTCTGGTTTTGCTTTGTTTTTCCTCTGGATTCCTGGTGGGAGCTGTCATGTTACTTCATGAAGTGTGCATTTTAGTAGTTTCTGGAAAGCTGGAGCTAACCAGACAGGGGAAAGGAGAGACTGCAGGGCTCAGCAGTAGCAGGCATGTTGAGACTGGTGATAATCACGCTTTGTCCCGGTAGAGCTTCCCAGGACCAAGAAACCAGGTGGCGGGTGGAGGAAGGGGAGGAAATGCAGCAACCAGCCGCCAGGTGGCGCCATCGCCTCCCGAGCCCCTGCCGCTGCCTGCAGGGTGAAAGGGGCGGGGTCGGACAGTGAGCGGAGAAAGGGGCGGGGTCGAGCGGAGGGCTGCGAAGGGGCGTGGCCCCTCCCGGGCGGGCAGTGGGGGAAGGGGCGTGGCCTCCTCCCGCTCCACAGGCTGGCGGTCAAGGGTGAGATCACGACTTTCAGAGCAGGCACTGGACCGAGGTGAGTCGAGCCAAGTGGCCAAGAGGACAGGGAGACTTCGAGGACCCTGAGGACCACCCCAGCAATGACCCGTCACAGCTCGGAACAACGCTGAGCTCTGCTGAGCTCTGCGATCTTTCTTTTGACACTTCCTGCTAGCCAGGCCCTGCACAGAGTGTTGGGGTAACAGCCTGGACGCGACAGGACGCTGATCCTCCTCGGTTTCATTTAATAGGGGGATGAGAGCAATACCTCCAAAGTCGGTAAATGAGTAAATGATCTCCAGTGTTACAAGGTGATGATGGAGAAAAGGAAAAGTAGAGCAGATTGTGTTGTTTACCGTGGCAGAGGTAGTAAATCCCGGGACAGGAGACTGCCTGTCCTTCTCCCGCGGAGCACCTGGTGGATTCGAACCATGTGCCTTTGGGTTGACAGCACAGCTCCTTACCACTTAGCCAGCAGAGCTCCAGTGAGGGAGACCAAGAAACACGAGGTGGAGGCTGAGAGGAGTGAGGGTCTGGGATCCAAAGGGTGACCAGCCTGGCTTCAGGTGACCCCCTGAGAAGGTGACGTTAAGCAAAGGCTTGAAGGAGATGTTGAGGGGAGCCATGGGGCCATCTAAAGTTAGACTCATCTGTGCAGAGATCCGGGGCAGAGGGACCCAGGAGAGGTCTAGAACAGGAGGATCATGGTGGCTGCATGGTGTAAAGGCCAGAGAGGAGGGCGGGCAAGAAGGGAGCAAAGGCCGGAGAGGAGGGGGGGGCAAGAAGGAAGGACCAGGCTGGTTGTCCTGCAGAGTGAATGCAGGGACAGCACAGGGGACCCCATGGATGTGTCACCTCTTTAGAGATCCTCAACTCGCCAGGCCCATTGAGAGGGGGTGTTTGGAAGCGTGGGTATAAATTCTGCTCTGCCACATGCCATGGTTGACTTTTTTACCTTTCAAAGTCCTCTCCTCCCCAGGCTCCTGCCCTTTCCATGAAATGGTGACTTATGTTGAGGACAAAAGGAACCAAAAATCCTTGGAGCATATAGGGAGGATTTAGAGCACGCCTACTGGGAGCTGAGCTCTAGGGACGTGAGCAAATGCAGGAAGCCGGGATGGCAAAGCTCTATCTCTCATACTGGGGACACGTTGCTAGGAGGGGCTATTCCTTGGGAGGGCACATCATATTAGGAAGGGTGAAGGGGTCAGCAAAAGAGAGGAAGACCACTAATGATGTGGATTGACATGGTGACTGCAGCAGTGGGCTCGAGTGTGTCAGAGATGATGAGGATGGTACAGTTAGGACAGGATTCAAGTCTCCTGTTCCCAGGACCCCTGTGAGCCATACTCGACTCTACAACACCTAACAACAACAGCATTCCCCCAACAATAACAATTCTCTCCTGGAGGGAGCCCTAGTGGCTTCTTCTTGTTGTGGTGGGCCATCAAGTGGGCACCCACTCATAGCTGACCCTCCAGCATGTTTTCAGAGGCAGTGACTCACAGGGGAGGAGACTGCCCATCCTTCCCTCATCGAGCAGCCCGTGGGTTTGAACACCTATCTTTGCTTTGGCAGTGCAGCTCCTTACCACTAAGCCAGCAGCGCTCCCTCTAGGGGGGAACAGTCCTGCGTTTTTTGTTGTTGGGAACCTTTGAGGAAACCAACCCATAGCTGCCCTGCAGTGAGTTTTCAGATACAGTCAAATGCACAGGAGGAGACTGCCTGCCTTTCTTCCACGGAGCACCTGGTGAATTTGAACAGCATGACTTCCGCTTGGCAGCACAACTCCTTACCCACTGGACATTACCCACTGCATTGCCAATACAAAGATACTCGATTGGAACCCAGAAGCTGCTGTGCAGGAGAAAGATGAGATTCTCCTCCCGTGCAATTTACTGCCTCTGAAAATCCACCAGAAGGTCAGCGACGGGTGGGTGCCAGTTCCACTCCAGTACACAGCAACAACATCCCCCCTAGGGAGACATTCAAGTACTTAAGACCTGTTTCTAACACTCTTACCAGTTGGTGAGTTAGGACTAAGGACTAGTGTTAAGTCACGCCCAAAGTGAACAGCACAAGGTAGTGGAGAAAGGGTACAGCCCAGGCTGAGGGGGGCATAGGGTCCATTCAGGTGGTTTGAAGTGGGGGGCGGTGAGGGAGGGAAGAGGATTCCAACTGGAAAGCAAAGTCCAAGCTGAGGAAAAGTTGTGTTTTGCCGTTTAATGGTTTACTAGCCCTGCAATAGTGTTAGAGAGATGCCAGCAACCTGAGGTGGTGGGTGGCAGAGGGCACCGGCAGGGAGAAGGTGAGTTTGAGAGATTTGCAAAGTAGGATGGGCTGTACTTGGTGGTTGTAAAGGGTGCCCCTCAGAAGGAGGTAGGGCCTGCCTGCCCTGGCTATTGGGACAAGCAGGGGTCCCAGGAGCAAGTGTCTTTCCCACAGCTCCACAGACCCCGCTGGGGCTGAATGTGGGGACCAGGTGCATGGGATCACTGTAGCCTTATTATGTAAGGATGCCCTTGTTCACTGCTGCAATCCGCGCTGCAATATTAAGCATTGAGCAATCCTGTAAGCCGTACCTACCTTGCGCCTGGTCCACAGCCAAGTGCTCACTGGGAGGGCATGGGGACAGAGTGGCACTCAGGTGCTTCCTCGGGTGTGACACTCGGGAAGGCCTCCTTCATCTGCCAGCCTGACTCTTGCACACAGGCTGAGAACAGACCCTCTAGACAGCCAGGCCAGGCCCTGGGTGCTCTCCCCTCAAACACCATGAAGATCCAGGACAAGATGGTCAGCCCCGTGCACCGAGTGTCCTTGGGGGATACCTGGAGCAGGAAAGTGAACCCGGACATAGAAAGCGAGAGGTGCACACAGTCCTTCAATGTGGAGCGTCTCACCAACATACTTGATCAAGGTGCCAAGAACACTGCTCTCCGCAGGAAAGTGGGTAAGAGGTGCCTGGGGTGCGGGGGAGACCTTCACGAGCAGAAACTCCTTCAAATAACTGCCCTTTGCCTCCAGAATTCCACAGTTAGTCATTCCTTTGGATAGTAAAAGTGCCTTTAGTACACCAATATTCCCTGAGCCCATGTAGGGAGTGGAAGAGTCTTAGACACAACTGCTATCTGAAAGGTTCAAAGGTTGGAAGTTGAAGTTCACCTAAACACATCTTGGAATGAAAATTTAGTGATCTAATTCTGCTAAAAGTGGGGTGGGAGGAGTACTGTTAATTGAGGGGATTGTAACAATGCCACCAAACAAATGGGTATAAAGTGCTGAGTGTAAAACTAATCTGCTCTATAAACTTTTATCCAAGTCACAGAAACCCAACCGAAAGCCTGCCTAGTACAGTTCTCCTGACAGGTACAGGCAAACAGGACTCAGTTGATTTGAGCCACTGGTAGGCAGCACAAGGCCTGGAGGCTGGTCCTGAGTCTACCACTTCACGGCTTTGTGACCCGGGACCAGTCCCACATATGGGCCTCATCTGCCCCATCGGTCAATGTCAAGGCCCATGAAGCAAGGAGTGAGGAGCTTTGAAGACAGCAGAAACCTCGTCCAGATATCTTATGTCCCCTCTCTCCTCTGTCCCCGGCAGAGAGTATCATCCAGAGTGACCCGGAGTACAGTCTGAAGGACCTTTATTTCATGTCCCAGAACGAGCGATATGAGAATGCCCTCCGGAAGATGGTGTACTTCCTGAGAACCGCGCAGCGCCTGGGCTGGTCCGTTACCGGCCCTGAGTTAGGATATGCTTACAGGTACTTACTCAGGGGCTAACCCTCCCCGCAAAAAAAGAGGAATTCACTTGGGACCACTGGAGAAAGCCCCCTGACCCGTGAGCCATTTTCCCCAACAAACAGTACTTGTGGGGCATCAGGATACCCGGAGCCCCGTGGGGCATCAGGATACCCGGAGCCCCTTGCCCTCTGCCCCCTGTCCTGCCCGAGGTTCCCCACACCCCTCTGTCTCCAACAGGCTTCTCAGCCACAGTGTCTCTCCCCCACAGAGCCGTTGCTGGAGATCTGGGTCTTGGCCTGCACAAGGTTTTCCTGAATTCCCTCAATGTCCTGGGCTCTGAAGAGCAGAAAGCCAAGTGGGGCGAGCTCGCCCAGCAGTACCAGATCATCGCGACGTATGCCCAGACAGAACTGGGCCACGGTGAGCCTGGGCTGCTGCCTGCGATTTTGGGGTTGTGTACTGTTCAGTTCTAGAGAGAACCCTTCTTTCTCACAGCTTGTCATTCACTTACTGTGAAAACTTTACAGCAGGTGATCAGGCAAGGGTCTTGAGGAAGGAACACCTTTGTCTTATTTGCACAAATGTGTTGGGTGAGCTAGCGGTGGGGCAGGCCATTCCTTCGAGAAGGATCCTTTGTCGCGGGCAGGCCACGTGGTGTCCTTCACACAACCCATACTTGAATGGGGAGATAGGCCTATGGATACACCTCAAAAGTGACACCAATTTGACCCTGCACTCCCTGGGCCTGCCTTGAAGCTGTTCCCTGGGCAAGAACTTCCCCAGTCTGGCCTGATATCTGACTACCCTCCTTTTCCCAAGGGACATACCTTCAGGGTCTGGAGACCGAAGCCACCTACGATCCAGCCACTCAGGAGTTTGTGTTGCACAGTCCCACACTGACCGCCACCAAGTGGTGGCCTGGGGACCGTAAGTACCCACCCCCGCCTCACTCCTGTTTCATCCTAAGGAGGATAGAGTTGGAAAGCAGTTTGGCCCAGGCTAGGATGTCCCACAAACACCTTTTCCTGGGCTTATGACCTTTGGGCAAAACAGCTCACCTCCCTGAGCCTCTGGTAAATAGACAGGGTTAGGAATTTCACCAGCAGGTGGCCGAGAATCCCCTTAGGAAACTTCTCGAAATGGTTGAGGAAATTGATCCAACCTTCAGAGGGCAAAGGCCACAATGACCCCACATAGGAGGAGATGGTGGTGCTTATGGGGACAGTGCTCAGCTTCAGGTTCTCCCCACTACACCAGTGCCTCTCGGCTCCTGAGTGAAGGACTAAACTTGTCACCAGCCAGCAAGACCTGAGATTAAAAAGAGTTACTAAGAAAATCACTCGTCCCACTCCTACTCCAATCACCCACGGTTTACTGGTCCTGTGCTGCACCTTCCATTGTGGCCACCAGGTGGCGACCATGCCACGCTTCCCTGAGGCTTAGAGCCCGACCCTATTTATGAAGCAGCCCTGGTGGTACAGTGGATTAAGTGTTGGACTGCTGATTTTAATCCACCAGCCACTCCAATGAAGAAAGTGGAGGCAATCTGCTTCTGTAAAGATTTACAGCCTCAGCAACCCTGTGTGGCTTATCCGCCCTGCAGGATAAGATTCCTAGGAGTTGGAATCTACCAGATGGGCAGTGGGTTTTGGTGGAAAGGAGGGCGTCTCAGTCAGCACCTCTCCTCTGATTCACGAACTGACCTCTGAGGACATCCGTGGCACCAGAGGACCCAAGCAGTTACTGCCTCGTGTGGAAAATAATAGGACAAATGTGTGCAGTCTGAACGAAAGCAAAAGGACAGAGAATGAAAATGACTGTTGTTAAAACCGCAAAGAACTCTGCCCATGCAGTCAGGTAGACCAAGACTCAAATCCCAGCTGTGTTCCCTCCAGCCCAGTGACCTTGATCCTCCTCAAACCTCAGTTTCCTTATCTGGAACATGGGGCTCAGACCTGCTCTCTAGGAACTGGAGATAACTAACATACGAAAAGACCAGAACAAGGTAAGGTACCACCTGGGTTTTGATACACGTGGTTCGAATCCACCAGCTTCTCCATGAGAGAATGATGGGCAGTCTCCTCCCGTGTGATTTACCGCCTCTGACAACCCACTGGAGGGTGAGCTGTGGATCTGTTCCAACTCGATGGTACACAACAGTTATCTATGGTTGTTACTGGGTTGATGGCAGAGTGATTCCATAACAGTTTTTAAGGGCAAAAACCAAATCTTGCTTACTTCTCAGTCCCTTTGGCAAGTTGCTGAGAGATTCATCTGTCTCCTCGGGGTGACTTCCCCTCTGTGAGACGCCTAACATGCCTGACCTGTGTTTTGCCAGGATTCTGACATGTCCCCAACAACTCTGACAAAGATTCTATCTCTCCAATTCCCAAGAAAATGACTCAAATCACAAGACTGTGTTGTTGTTGTTGTTGTGGGCTGTCAGGTCCATTCCGACTCCTCACAGGGTCAGGACCCTTTCGTACAAGAGAACTGCCCTGTAGAGCATTCCAGGCTAAAATCGTGGCGGGAGCTGATCGCAGCATACAAACCGCCAGTCTTTTGGTTAGGAGCCAAGCTTTAACCAATGCACCACTAGGGAACCTGGTGAGCCAAGAGGCTTCTTTGGGTGTTGGGTTTTTTGCTATTAAAAAAAAATATTGGTTTGCTTACAAAAGTTGTATACATTGTGTTTCACACTATCCTTCATTCACATTGTATTTCATACAATCATTCCCATTCATTACATTTTCTAAAGTTAATCAACATTGAACTATACCCACCATTACCCTATCTTTCCAGATTCCTGCCAGATCTTTCCAATTTCCTTTACCCACCTCTCCCACCACCCATCAAATTTCACGACCCTATAATTTCCCCCTGTACATCTTCATCCTTTTGTTCCTACCCTCCCCTCTCTTTGGATCCTCATACATATTTTACTAGTTCTCTTTCTAGTTCTATAATCATAGTCTTATACAGTATTTGTCTTTTGAGACAAAGTTAGTTCATTAAGCATAATGCACTCCAGTGCCTCCCAAGTTATGTAGGAATTTTCAAGATCATTGCTCCTGGGTGCTGCGTAGTGTGAATGTACCACAATTTCTCAGTCCATTCAATTGTGATTAGACATCTGGGCTATTTCCATAGTCTAGCTATGATGAATAATGCTGCTATGAACATTGCTGTACAAATCTCCATTTGTGTCTCAATTCTAATTTTGTTGGGCTGTATTCCAAGCAGTAGAATAGCTGGGTCATATGGAATTACTACGTTCAGCTTTTTAAGGAAACACCAAACTGCTTTCCAGAGTGGATGTACCATTTTACAATCCCACCAACAGTGTATGAGAGTTCTTATCTTTCCGTATCTTCTGCAACGTGTATTTATTGCTGTCCTGTTAAACTCTGCCACTGCTACTGGAGTGAAATGGTATGTCATTGTGGTTTTGATTTGCATTTCTCTCATTGCCAGTGATTTTGAGCATTTTTCATGTCTGTTGGCCATTCAAATGTCTAAAAGTCTTTCCATGTTTTTGCCTGTTTTGAATTGTATTATTGGTCTTTTTCTTGTGGCAGCCCTGTAGGATACAGTAAACTTTCATTATGAGACTTTTGTCTGAGATGGTGTTGCCAAATGGCTTTTTTCCCCAGTTTTCTTTTTACTCTGTTGGTAAAAGTTTTTGATGAGCATGGGGTCCTGTTCACCAATTTTAGCCTCTCCTGCTTTTGTATGTCAGCTGTATCTGTCAGCCTTTTTATACCATGATCTAGACCTTCTAAGTTTGAACCCACTTTGTTTCTTATGATCTTTATGGTTTGGTGTTTTACCCCTAGGTCTCTGATCCATGTTGAGTTGATTTTTATGTGTGGTGCGAGGTGTACATCCTGCTTCAGCTTTCTGCAGGCAGCAGTAGTGTTTCACCTGCACCATTTGTTGAAGAGGCTGTCAATTCCCCATTTGATAGATTTTGTTTCCTTGTTGAATATCAGTTGACCATAGATAGATGGATCAACTTCTGTGTTCTTGACTCTGTTCCATTGGCCTGCATGCCTGCCATTGTTCCAGTACCACATTATTTTGGTTATTACAGCTGTATTTTGAGATCAGGGAGTGCTATGCTTCCCACTTCATTCTTGTTTTTCGGAAGTGCTTTGTTTATTTGCTTTCCTCTAAATAAACTTGCCAATTGCCTTTTCTATCTCTTTGAAAAATTAATTTGATATCTGTATTGGGATTGCATTAAACATGTAGATTGCCTTTGGTGGGATTGTCATTTTTACAATATTGAGTCTTCCTATGCATATTTTTCCATTTATTTGTGTCTTTTATTGTTTCTAGCAGAGGTGTTCTGTAATTTTCTTTGTAAAGGTCTTCTGTGTCCCTAGCTAGGTTTATTCCTATGTATCTCAGTTTTGTTTGGCTATTATAAATGGTATTGCTTTCTTAGCTTCCTTATGTGTGTTTTCTTTGATACTGTAAAGGAATCCCACTGACTTTTGTATATTGATCTTGTATCCTGCCACTCTACTAAATTGGTCTGCCAGCTCTAACAGTTTTTTTTTTAGTCTTTGGGGTTTCCTGTGTACACAATCATATCATCTGCATATAGCAACAGTTTCACCAGTCTCTGCCAATCTGCATGCCATTTATTTCCTTCTCTTGTCATATTGCCTTAGCAAGTATTTATAGTACAATATTAAATAGGAGTTGTGACAGTGGACATCCTTGTCTCATCCCTGTTCGTAAGAATACTTTTCGTTTTTCTCCATTGAGAATTATACTGGTAGACAGCCAAGTTTTAAGTGCCTCTTAGCTTTCTCTATGGGTTGTTTCCACTGGATTCCATAGGCTTTATCAACTTGATCTTGGATGAGAGAGCTCCCAGAGGATCTCTATAAAATATCTACCAGGTCCATTCCTCCACAATCATGGGAGCTTATATCATAGACCCACCATTTAGATGGGACCGCCGCACCTCTAGCCCCCCAAGCTGCTGTCCGTAAGTCCCTCCAACTCAGTGCATGCTGGAGCCAGGAACCAGAGAGCCCCTTATCTAAGTCCTAGTCCTTTCCAAGGATGACAGGGAAGATCCTTCAAGTCACGGCTTTGTTCTTACATGCTGTCAAGTTGGAATCAATTCATAGCTGATACTCCAGTGGGGCTTCAGAGGCTGTAAACTGCATGGGAGGAGGCTGCCCAACCTTCTCCCTCAGAGCAGCTGGTGAACTTGAACTGCCTGCCTTTGGGTTGGCAGCACAGCTCTTTAGCTCATGCTCACCTACTGTCTTCCCTCAGCCCTTGATACCCTCACCATACAGCTCTCCACATGGATCCAGTCCTCAAGCTTCTGTGCACTTGTTCCCTCTGCCTTTCACACCTTCCCCTTATACTCCTGCCTCTTTGGCACCTCTCCCTAGCCTATACCCTCTGAGGCTGACCAAGCCAAGCCCCTCCCGGCCTCAGAGCACCCCTTTCCTCATGCCACCACGCCAGCCCTTCTGCCCATGTCCTAATTCCCGATAGTGATCTGCTCAGCGCACGGGGTCACTCACCCTCGTCTCTTGTCCTCAGTGGGACGGACAGCGACGCATGCCCTGGTGCTGGCACAGCTGATCTGCTCCGGTGCCCGGCAGGGCATGCATGCTTTCATCGTGCCCATCCGGAGTCTGCAGGACCACACCTCGCTGCCAGGTAGGAACCCCCAGACACACCCACCACCCATCCTGGGCTCCAGATGGGGGAGACAGGGCCCAGGACAGTGTTTCCATCAAGCAAAGGAAGGGGCAATGGGACAGACCTGGTACTAACTGGCTGAGGCTTCATACAGGTCGTCAACATCCTTACCTGCAAAATGGGTATAACAATGATCCCGGCACCATGGGCTGCCGGGATCCCAGGGGAGGTGAAGCATCCAGGAATGCAGCACCTGGTATACAGCAAGCGCTCACGTGACAGTCATTCCCCGATCCCTCTCCTTTTAGGAATCACCGTTGGAGACATTGGGCCCAAGATGGACTTTGAACATGTGGACAATGGCTTCTTGCAGCTGGACCACGTGCGGGTCCCCCGGGAAAACATGCTGAGTCGCTTTGCACAGGTGGGGCTTAGGGTGGTGCAGCCTGCCCAGAGAAGGGACAGGAGGTCCCACGGGCTAATGCTGGTTCTGGACTCCCATCTGGAGAGCTGAGTGTGGGTACCTCACAGCTTGGAGCCTCACAGACTGGTGAAACCTCAGCTTGAGCGCTGGGTGATTTTAGGCAAACCACATCCCCTCTCTGAGTCCCCTCAGTTGTCCCTGCTCAGCTGGTGGGGTGGGGAGGAGAGGAGGAATGGGCTAGGGGAGTAACTGAACGTATAACCTCAATGAGGACTGAACTTACCCAGTCATTAGACACCATCTGGGAGAGGGAGGCTGGAGATTTTCTGGGGGTTTCCTGTTTTGCCAACCATTACTCCTTCAGTTGAGGATCAGGGGGAGGTTGGGCTGTCCCAGGAGAGGAGTGGGGGCCCTGTCCATTGAGCAGCATACGCTGAAGTGCCTCGGTGTTTTAACAGCCTGCATGCTGGCTGGTCCTGGAGCAGCCGTGTGTGCTAGCATGCTAAGTTTGAGGGGTGCAGTGCCATGGAGCTCACCCCAGCACTGTCCTCCATCCACGCAGGTCTTGCCAGATGGCACCTACGTCAAGCAGGGGGCTGCACGCACCAACTACTTTTCCATGGTGGTGGTGCGCGTGCATCTGCTCCGGGATGAGATCCTGCCCCTGCTGCAGAAGGCGTGTGTCATCGCCACGCGCTACTCCGTCATCCGCCGCCAGTCCCGGCTCCGGCCCAGGCAAGGACCTCCAGGGGCTGACCACACAGACACTGCCACCTCCTGGGCCCACGGTACCCACACCCCACACACCCCTGTGCCAGAGCCAGGCTGCAGGGAGCAGACAGACAGACAGACACACACACACACACGCTCACACGCTCACACACTGCTCAGCATGGCCTGGGAGGTCTCTGTCTGGCCCCCTCTGACCCTAGCTAACTGCCTGGTCCACCCTGCGCCTGCCAGCAGGCAGCCTCGAACCACTAAACCTGATTTTCATTTGTCTGTTGGGGTCTGTGTGCCTGTGATTGGCAGAGTGAGCCCAGTTCAGTGGCTAGCTGAGTCTGTGGTATCATCATGGTTTCTCAGAGCCTGAGTGTCCTCTCAGACAGGAAGGGGTGAGCCTGCTTTGGGCCGACCATCAGCATCCAGCTGTACTATACCTGACTCCTTCTACATCTGTTTTCTTATGTGTGGCCATCTGGCTACCGCCTCCCTGCTTCATGGCCCAGAATACCCTGCTGTACCCTCACTGTTTAACCTACACACACACACACACACACACACACACACACACACACACACACACAGTGTTGCCAGGTTTAACAGATAAAAATACAGGCTGCCAGTTAAATAGGAATTTCAGATAAATAAATATATATTTTAGAAGAAATACATCCCAAATGGACACATATACTCAAAACGCAAACCCATTGCCCTCCAGCAAATTACCTCATCTCCCATGGGGTAGCTGGTAGGTTCAAGCTGCTGGCCTTCCCATGTAACCACTGCACTGCCAAGACCCCGTAACACACTCTCAAGGTCAAGAAAATGGAGTGAACAGTAAGAAAACAGAGAGGGCTTAGACCAGGCTCAGCATGACTAACCTGAACTATCTGTTTGTACGGCTTTGGGGGCCTGGAAAGGTGGTGTCTGTGTTTTAATGACAGCTCATGTCCCAGCCCAGCTGAGTGACCCTGGGCAAGTCCATGGGCTGTGGCTTTCCCACCTAAAAAGTGAAGGGTGACCATCAGAACTAGAATTTGAGAGAATGCAGCCCAAGGTGGTGCCGTGGGCTCAAGTGTCCAGAATGACCCTTCTCCAAGCACAGAAGACCTGGTGTCACACGCAGCTCGGCCACTTGCTGCCCGCGGGGGCTTTGACGAGCCGCCTCGGCTCCCTGTGATTCCATTGTCGTCTACCAAGGGAGGGTGTGACGGGACATGCCTTTTGGGGTGTCACTGAAGGTGAGATATGTGCCTGGCTCTCAGACAGCTTCTTCATCTGTCACACTGTTCCTGGCCCCTCTGAGGCACCCTCATCAGCCAGGGCTTCAGAACCTCAGCCTGGGGGGAGGTGGCCGAGTCTTCTGAAGACCCAGGTGCTCAGAGGAAGGTGCGGCCAATGGTGCTGTCCGAAGGCCGTTTTCCTGAGATGCAGAAGAGAATCAGGGTGACTTAATAAGACCAGGCCCAGGTGAGGAGCTCCTGCTCCGGAGAGTAGCCCCCAGGCTGCTCCCCCCAGCTAAGGAGGGAGCGCACGTACAGGCCTTCTTTCAGTACACAAATAATTACCACGGCTGCCCATGTTGGGCACTGAAGGCACAGCAGTGGACGAGCCAGACAGCCTGGCCCTGGGATTCCACCCTACCCGAGCTGACATATTTTTTTTAATTTTTTTTTTATTTTGTGTGTGTGTACCGTCAAATGGGATCTGACTGGAACAGGAGGAGATTGTCCCTCCTTCTCCAACAGAGCATCTGGTGGATTCTAACTGCGCACTTCTGGGATTGCAATGCAGCTTCTTGCCACTAGGCCACCAGAGCTCGCCCTAGTTTACGTCTTGATTGACATGTTATTGCTCAGGCATCACACATTTTCCTGTGTCCAGTAAGGACATGTGTGCAGGGAGAGATCACTAGTCCCCATCATCACAATTGCACACACATGACCCTCATCCAAAACCCTCGGGGTCGGATATGTTGACGTTTGAAGGATGTCTGTCCCCTCAGATTTTAGAGGATGGCACGATGCAGAGACCACAACTCTATACACTTGTCCCCACGAGGGACATCAAGAGTGGTCTAACATGTCAGTATTTCCAGACAAGTGCAAGTTCTTTCTAGATATGATGACAAAAGATTAACAGCTTCATATAATTTCCAAGATAAGCAACAAATTATAAAAAAAAAATGTGTTGGTTATTAATGGTTTCCATGGCCTTGGGTACCTGGGATGGTAGATGTGGCTTGGTGGCAACTTTATAAATTGTTCTCTTCTCTTCCCCTCAGTGACCCAGAGGCCAAAATCCTAGACTACCAGACACAGCAGCAGAAAATCTTTCCTCAGCTGGCTATGGCCTATGCCTTCCATTTCGGGGCTATCAAGGTCTTGGAATTCTTCCAGCATGCCTACAGTGCCATTCGGGATGGAAACTTTGCCCTGCTGCCTGAGGTAACTGCTGTGGCCCAGGGAAGAGCTCTGGGAGGGGAGCAGCCCAGCCCAGGTCCCCTGGACTGTCCCACCTCCCGCCCCCACCTTCCACATCCTCAGGCACCTCGTGGACCACCACACTCTGGAATATCACATCCACTGATGCCTGGCCCCCACACAGCTCCAAACGGTTTGAGAAATCAGCACACATTTTATCTAGAATATGGACCCACCCTCTCGGACCTGCTTTTGAAACTCAGACAGCTCTGAAAACTAGAACTTGCTTAGAAATGACTTGGTGGCAGTTAGTTCCAAACTGACTTGATTTATTATCCCACTGATCATTTGCTGCAGAAAATATCATTTGATCTTTAAGCCACCTCAGTTTCTACAGGGCATGTTTCATGATATTCCTGAAATGATCTAGTTATCTTTCTAAAATCCAAAAGTAGTTCTGATTCCATAACGCAGCTGGTCCCCAAAGGGTCAGGCCCTGTGCTTTACAAATACGGCTTCGTTTACTCCTTCTAACTTTACAACAGTCAAAGATGCCTGTTTACAGATAAGGAAAGTGAAGCCCAGAGAGCATGATGTTCCTCCCAAGGCCTTGAAAGTTTGAGAGAGGTGGGGGCTTAGAAAAATGAAAAATCAAACTCGGCCCACTTCTGGCACCCCTGCTACACTGGGGACAGTGGCTCGGGGGGACAGGGGATCACAGGTCCTTACAGACCAGCTGTCTAAGATTTCTGCTCCAGAAAGGTCCTGTGGAGGATGCCCCCAGGCAGCCCCTCTTCCTGAGTGAGGTCCTAGCCCTTTGCTCTTGCTGCTGCAGCTCCTCACTGTGCAGCCTTGAGCGAGTGTCCTAACCCCTCTGAGTCTCCGTCACTGCATTTTTAAGTGAACAGAAGAAACAGTGCTCGCTCAGCACCCAGTGGGTACTCAGCGTGTGCACAGCTGTCACTGGGGGACCCCTGCACAGCACCTGATCACCCCACCCTTCCCTTCCCTCTGGCAGCTCCATGCACTGAGTGCAGGCATGAAGGCCACCATATCAGAGGCCTGCACCCAGGGGGCCGAGCTGTGCCGCAGGGCCTGCGGGGGCCATGGCTTCTCCAAGCTGAGTGGCCTGCCATCCCTGGTCACCAAGGTGACGGCTTCCTGCACCTATGAGGGCGAGAACACTGTGCTCTACCTGCAGACAGCCAGGTGAGACTCCCCAGGTGACCCAGGCCTTCTCCCTGTCGCGGCCCTCAGGGACCCACCCAGCTTCTGCTTGGGGTGAGCCTCCGTCTGATACCCACAGAGGGAAAATCTTTAGCGAAGTGCTGCTCCAGGACCACCCAACTGCCAGAATGTGTCTGCAGTTCATCCACTGCTTCCCAGACTCTGCTGCTCCCCCATCAGGCTGCCCTCACCCTTCACAGAGACAAGAGCATCTGTCTCCTCCCTGGCCCTCACCTCCACCGGGCCCCAGAGCAGCCCCTTCTCCATAGGCAGCCAGAGTGACTTTCAAGCTTAGAGAAGATCTAGGCTGGAATTTTTCTATGGCTTCCAGTGCTTTTAGGGAAAGGCCACAGTCCATGTGGGGTCCTCATACTTAGTTCCTTCTCTGTCCCACCCTCACAACCTCCTGCCTCTTGTCACTTCTTCCAGTCACACACTTCTTTCCTACCACAGGGCCTTTGCACTTGATGTTCGCTCCACCTGGAATTCAAATGTCACCTCCTCCAATATGCCCTCCCTGACCACTCCACCTGGTGTAGCAACTCGCAGGCCTCCTACCCTGTCTCCTTTGGATCTTTTACTGCAGTTTCCAGTGGTCTCCTCTTTTTGTTTATTTAAGTATTTTGCACTGATCCCCAATTAACCAGGAAGCTCCTGGAGAACAGAGACTTCAGCAGCCTTGCTCACGGCAATACCCCCAGATTTAGGTGCAGGGCCTGCTCACCGGAGGCTCAGGCCGGAAGCAGGCATGGCGGCTGCGTCAGCCTCCTCCACATAGATGGTCTCTTCTCATCTTTCTTGTCTGTGGGCCTCACAGCTAACAAAGCTTCTCGTCCACCCAGGCTCACCTCCTTTTAGGTGACTGAACAGGACAAATAACCTCCGTATGAGAAGGGAGTGTGCTTGCAAGCATGAAGGATAATTTTATGTCTAATGTTTATTGTTTATTTGTTACTTTTCTACTGGGTTATTCTTATTTCTTTGTTGGACATTAGCATTTACTGAATATCTTGTGCCTAGCTGACACCTTGCCAAGCACTTTGCAAGCATTAGCTCATTCATTTCTCACAAACTCTGTACCAAGAAGGAAGTTGGTAGGGTCTCCAGTCACAGATGCAGAAACAGGCTCAGTGAGGCAGCTGCTTCCACACCATCGCTCTGGGCTGTGACCGGCTGCATTAGAATCTGGGGCCGCCTAAGCCCAGCCTGCAACCACAGTGTTGTCCCAAGAGCTAAAAGTCATCAGTAATCCTCGCACTCATGTTAGCCTTTCTGCATCTGCCCTTTCGTCTCCTTTTCTCGCCTAAGAAAATATGATTCCATGTAGTCACTGTACAGTTCGTCTGAGCTGACAGGGAGAGCTCTGTTTGCTCAAGTCTCAGAAGGGCTTATGTAAAATAAAAAAAGCAGCCGTTCAGGATCTAGACGTTTCTGCAGCCCCACTGTGCTGTGTGGGGAACGGCTGCTATGAGGTTTACCCCATCCAACTCTCAGGAGTGGGGGGCTTTGGGGTGCAGGCAGGATTTAGTTATGGTGCTGGGCTGACAGCCAGGGGGCCTCTGACTCTCCATTATGGAGACTGGAGCCCAGCATGAGTGTGTGTCTTTGGAAAAGAGGGGTGCTGTCTGCCCCCATGTCTCACCTACATCGCCCACATTCTAGGTTCCTGGTGAATAACTACCTGCAGATCCAGACGAGACCAGGCTCCACATCTCAGAGCTCATTGCCTCAGTCCATTGATTATCTTGCCGCTCCTGCCCTGGCCAGGTGCCCAGCCCAGAAGGCGGCCGACTTCCTGTGCCCAGAGCTCTACACTGCAGCCTGGGGGCACGTGGCAGCCAGGTGAGCACCTGGAATTCAGCGCCCACGTGCCGCAGGTTCTTCCCTCACTGGGGCCTTTGCGTCTGGTTGGGTGGGAACTCATAGACGTTCCTCTAAAGTCCACTCCCCTACTTCCCCTCCACCTCCCTAATCCTCCCAGTCCTGCACCCTGAGCAGGGAGCATGGGACGTCACCCCTGTCAGCCATAGGTCACCATGCTGTCCCCCTCATGGCCAAGGGAGAGAAGGAGAGGCCCTTTCCTGCCAATGAGAGGAAACAGAATCTTTGATGCTATTTACAATGCCATGAATGTACCCATATGTAAATACTGTGGATGTGCTGATTTATAAGTCCTGATAAAGTATGGTTCTTATGTTTGAAATATTCCACAACTTAAACATAATTTTCAAAAATAGGGCTTTACCAAGAAGTGTTATATTCAGGGTCAAATGTGGGGAGGGCGAGAGGGGGTAGGGCAGAAAGAGAGGTCACAGAGAGTACCTGCCATGGGAAAGGCAGAAGTTGTGACCCCCCCCCCCACAGAGAAACCCTCTGTACCCCTCCCGGACTAGAAATAAAACTGGAAAAGGATGGAGGGACAGTGCAGGAGAAGAAGACCGTGCATGAGATGGTTTGATACAGTGACTATGGCAATGGGGGTTGGTGTGTCGAGATTCGTGAGATTGGCTCAGGACAAGGCAGGCTTCAGAGCTGTTGTGCATAGGGTCGCTATGAGTCACAGATGACTTGATGGCACATAACAACAACAGCGAGAAATTATATTCCCCAAGCTGCAGTCCTAGGACTAGGCCGTGGCTATTGCATAATCTCAAACCTAATCACAGGGAGCTGAGCTGCTAATCCCAAGGAGGGACCTCTCCAGTGGTCCAATCCCACCAGCAGCTCCACAGAGAAAGATGGGCAATCTCCTCCAGCGATTCCCCTCGGAAGCCCACGGCAGGGTCAGGAATGAGTTGGCTCCAACTCGCCGGCAGTGAGTCAAGTAGGTTTAAGTTAAGCAGCCTGGCACACAGTTAGTCCACAGATCTTTGTTAGCATCTAGAAGATGCCAGGCATCATTCTAGACCATATGAATAAGCCAAACAATCCCAGTTGACTTCCTGATAAAAAAACCCCAGTGCTCCGCAGGGGCAATGATTTTGTAAATCACTACCTAACTTGGGAGGGACTAGAGAGCTATTATGCTGAGTGAACTAAGTCCCATAAGGACAAATACTGTTTAAGACCATTATTTTTTTTTTAGATGGGTTTTTTTTTTGTTTTTAAATTTTTTTAAATTTTTTATTATTTTGTGTGCGTGTACCGTCAAATCAGATCTGACTGGTACAGGAGGATATTGCGCCTCCTTCTCCGGCAGAGCATCTGGTGGATTCAAACCGTGTTCCTCTGGGATTGCAGTGCAGCTTCTTGCCACTAGGCCACCAGAGCTCCCATTTAAGACCATTATTGTAGAACTAATATGAGGATCCACAGGGACGTGGGGAGAGTTCAGAGGGGTGAGAATGGGCGGGGAGGGGGCCACTAATCATAGGGTCACATAATTTGATGGGCGGAGGGTGCGTGTGAAGGAAATGGGAAAGATCTGGTGTGGAAAACAATGTATTTGGACTTTTTAAATAAATCAGTATAACAATGAAAAGAAAAACCTAGGCCAGCTCTGGTGGCCTAGTGGCAAGAAGTTGTACTGCAATCCCAGAGATGTGTGGTTCGAATCCACCAGGTGCTCTGCTGGAGAAGGACGGACAATCTCCTCCTGTACTAGTCAGATCTGATTTGATGGTATACACACACTGAATGAATGAATGAATGAATGAATGAATGAATGAATGAAAAGCCTGGGTGCAGGGGAATAAAACAAAACAACAAATCCATTGCTCATGAAGTTCACATTTCCATGGAGCTCTGGTGGCTTAGTGGTAAGAAGTTGCGCTGCCAACTCAAAGGCGCGCGGTTCTCATCCACCTACTGCTCTGAGGGAGAAAGATGGGCAGTCACCTCCTATGTGATTTACTGCCTCTGAAAACTCACTGGAGGGTCACCGATAGGTCGATATTGACTCAAAGTACCCAAGAACATGGTGATTGAGGCCTCATTATATTCTCTGTGCTTCTAACTTCACATGACATCTGATTATTATCAATTCCCTAACCAAGCAAAATAAATATTGCTTAATAAAGAGTTTGCTTTCTGTACAAATTCCACATGTTATAATAGATAGTTGGACAATGAGTAGAAAATAAAGATTAATGGAAAGTGAGTGAGTGAATGGCCTGGTGGACAAAGGTTGGGGTTTTGTTTGCTTGAAGGTGCTTTGTGCACAGGTTGGAGCCGACCTCAGTGACCTTGGGAGAAAAACCATTGTTTTTTGTGTGCCCCCAACAAGTCAGGTCACAGAACACGGTGCCAACAGTGGTATCAGGTGGAACCTGCCCTCATAAGAGGGGCAGCTGGGCCTGGAGCCCTGAGGCTTTACAGCACTGGCATTAAAGGCAGAAGCAAATAACTTCTCTGGAACAAATTTTTACCTATTTGACAAAATTCTCTGGAAAGTGATAATGTTCAGCTAAGCGTTCAGCTGTACAGCACATAATGGTCAGTGACTAGGATTTATTACGCTCCCCCAAGGGACCCCAGGTGGACTGAGGGGCACATCACCGTTCTCTTGGTCTTTTTGTCTTCCAGGCTCATAAAGGATTCGGCGCATAGCCTACAGACCCTGATGCAGTCCGGCCTTGACGAGCATGAGGCATGGAACCGGACCACCGTCCAGCTCGTCCAGGCCGCTAAGGTGAGCGGCCTCTAATTTCCTCTCTGCTGGGCACACCGGCCCAGCTCTTCCTGGAGTGGATGGCTCATTTCACTGCCACGGCCTTAGTCCGAGATGTTTTAATTAAAGGACTTAACTCCAAAGCAGTCTTGCTGGCAGCTCTTAGAGGAGAACATAATGAGCCAGTGTTATTGGATTTGCTTCAGGTTGTTCAAATATTTCCACCCAGAGAGGAAAGCAGGTCAAGTCTCCCCACAGGCCTGCAGGCGATTCCTGGATGCCTGATTCCATTTCCACTCTGTTGTGTGTTTGTGTATAATCTGCATGTTCAGTCAGCAAATATTTGAGCACCAAGTACTGGGCCAGGGTCAGGGAGCCTACCACCCAGCCACAGTCAAGGATGGGGAAATGCAAGGTACTGTGGAAGCCCAGGTGTGGTCTACACGCCAGTCGTGGGGATGGTTCAGGACCAGAGTTGTTCTGCTGTGATGGGGTCACCCACAGTCGGGGGCCAACTGTCTGGAGATCCTAGAAGAGGTGCACCACTAGCCATCTGCTGTCAGAAGTCCTTCTCAGGAGAAATGGCCTGAAGCTAAGACTTGAAGGATGAGTTGAAGTTAGGCTGGGCAAAGGGTGGGGCCCCCGACGCTGTGGAGAGGAAGGTTTCCAGGCAATGAGAACAGTGGGTACAAAGTAAAGAGGAAGAAAGATACTGGTGCCTTGGAGGAAATGCAGGAGGCCGAGTGAGTAAAGGAGGTGAGAAGAGATAGACATGGGCCTTTGGACCCATGTGAGAAGTTCCACTTTTGTCTACACTGCAGTGGGATGTCCTTACAAGGTTTGTAGCAAGGGAGATGAGGTTTTCATTCTAGAAGGATGAGGGAGGGATGAGCAGAGGCTTCGGAGGAGAAGGAAGCAGCTGTGTGGGCTAGGGGTGTTCCCCAACCATGGATGTGGGGAGAAGGTGTGGATGTGGGCTATTTAGAGGAGAGAAGGGAGATCAGGGTTGGAGAGTCAAGAGGTTGGAAGCAGTGAGAATGGCTCCAAGGCTCCAGTCCTGCCAACAGCTGGAATCCCAACTCCCAGGCCTCAGGCTGACACAGTGCAGCCTTGTCCCACCAGGACTCCTTTCAGAGGGTCAGGCTGGGCAGGAGCGCCACCTGGTGATGGCACCACAGCACTTCGGCGGTGAGGGCCTGACTGGTGCCCTCTGCGCTACACCAGGGTCTTGTTGGGGGGTGGGGGTGGGGGTGGGGGTAGTCACCGCTGCCCTCTCACCAGAAAAGTAACTGTCTCTAATTATTCAGCCGCTATCCACCCAGTGCCCCGCCTCAGTTCATGACTTCATTTAACACACACAACTCTGAGATGTGTCCATTTCAAGAGCAGGGAAACAGAACTCAGAATTGTTCGATCCTGGAGCTAGGAAACTGCTGCATTTTGACCCTTGCCCACACACCGCAGCAGGCCCAGCCCTGGGGAGCCATGGCAGATGGTGAGTGACTGGGCCCCAGGCAGGAGGGCACCTAGGGCTAGCAGCTCAGACAGCCTCGGGGTGACAACCAAAGTCCCCACCGGCTCCTGGGGTGCTGATGTCCATGCTGAGTCTCCGAGGCCAGAGTGGATTTGAGGGGCATTCTGTACTTTCTTGTACCCTGGGGAGCCATCTGCCATGCCAAAAGCACCCAATAAGGTCTCACCTGAAGGACACTAACGTACAAGCAGAGAGGGACAGAGATCCAGATGGGGGTACCGTGTGGAGGGCTGGACACGGGAGACCTGAGCCAAGTTCTGATTCCACGTAGTGTGACAGGCTGTGTGACCCCAGGCAGCCCCTTCTCCTCTCTGGACTATAACTGTCCTGGAAGGGTCCTTCTGGCTCAGAAATGCTCTGGTCCTATTATCTCAGGCCCCACCCAGGGAACGGATCACTGGAGCCAATGCTGGACCTCATTATAATCCAGCCTCAGTCTCTAGTGACTTACTTAGGCTGGTTTGCCCTGGGCTCAGGAGTGGCACTACCACTTACCAGTGACTGTGGGCAAGAAATGTAATCTCTCTGAGCCTCTGTCTTCTTGTCTGCAAGATGGGACTAATAACAATAACCCTTGAGATAGTGTGATCCTGCAGACTAAACTGCTTACAGCCCACTGACCGCCTACCAGCACCCCAGAATTAAGTGGGAGGCAGGAGTTGAAGCCTTAGTTCTCTTCGACAGCTCCTTGTGCCCAGAAAGTGACACTAGGGTTGTTTGGTTTGGGTTTTGTTTTGGGTTTGTTGTTTTTTTTAATTTGGTGTCTTTAAAAAAAATGGTTTACTTACAGAGATCATACACATTGTTTTTCACACCAGATCTTTCTCCATTCTTTGACACTAGGGTCTGCCTCAGCCTTCTCCTCAAACCCAGAGACACTCTCTTCCTCTGATCCTCATTGTGATTCCCAAGACAGATCAGGCTCTCAGTCTTCCGCCCAGGGCCTTGAGTCCTATGTGGCCCTCACATCAGCAGAGGGAAGTGGGCCTTGGTGAGAGGAGGAGGCATCCAGTTTTAGCACCAAGGGCCGCTTGGCCCAACAGGGACTGCAGTGTACGTCTCCCCCTTCCCCACACACTTGCTGCACACCCAGCCCCTGGTGCCGGAGTGGTGGAGTGGCAGGTCTCCCTGAGAAAAGCAGGTTCTTTCCAAGTGAGAAGCCTGACCAGGTCACTGGCTGGTTCAACATCCTGACAGTCCCCCAACCCCAGTATAAACCTGACAGTGTCCTCCAAGGCCTTTCATTGGTCTGGGCTCTGGCTATCATCCTTCTTTTTTTAAAAAAATTTATTGACTTTTTCAATCATTCATTGTTGCACATTTTCCTCACTGCCACCCAGTTCGCTTTTCTCTTTGGGAAAAAAAAAATCTTTCATTGTTGTACAATTTCCCCACTCCTCAGTCCACTTTACTATGCAGCTCTTGTTCTGGACTGTTGTTATGCAAATAATACCTAATCATATATTCCTTTTAAGCAGTCTTTCCCTCATCTGTTTCAATGCAGTGTACATTATTTATCCCCTTTCCCCCCCAACCCTGATGTCAGTCCTCTTTTATAACAGTGACAGTATGCAGTATTTGTCCTTTTGTGACTAAGATATTTCATTCGACATAATGTCATCCAGGTCACCCACTTTGTATAATATTTCATGAGTTTCTTGTTTTTTGATGCTGCATAGTATTCCACTGTGTGAATATACCACAGCTTCTCTAGCCATTCGTTTGTTGATGGGCACTTGGGTTGTTTTCAACTCTTTGCTATTGTTGCAATAAACATGGGTGTGCATATATCTGCTGGGATGGCAGTTCTGGCTTCTTTAGGGTATAATCCCAGTAGTAGAATTGCTGGGTCAAATGGTATTTCTATTTCCAACTTCTTGAGAAAGCACCATACAGCCTTCCATAGTGGTTGCACCATTTTACACTCCCACCAACAGTGAATAACAGTTCTAGTTTCTCCACAACCTCACCAGCATTTGTTGTTTGCTGCTCTGTTGAATTTTGTTCTTGATACTGGGATGAGATGATATCTCATAGTTGTTTTGATTTGCATCTCTCTTAGAGCTAGGGATTTTTAACATTTCTTCATCTGTTCATTCACCATCTGAATGTCTTCTTTTGGTGAAGTATCTGTTCATATACTGTGCCCGTTTTGTGATTGGATTGTTTACCTTTATCTTCTTGTGGTGATCGAGCATTCTATAAATTCTAAATATAAGTCCCTTATCTGACATATCATTACAAAAATATTTTTTTCCGAGTCTGTAGCTTCCCTTTTTACCCTGTTGGAGAAGTTTTCTGATGTGCCTAGGGATTTGATTCTTAGAAGGTCCCAACCTCCAATATGGAATGAGGCTCATTGTCAATAAAACAATTGGGCCAATTGGCAGCATCAGGATGGATGGTGAAGAGATTGAGATTGTTCACAGCTTTAGTTTGCTCGGCTCCACAGTCAACACTCTTGGCACCAGTAGTCAGGAAATTAAAAGGTGTATTGCCATGGGAAAGTCTGCTATTAGGGACCTCTCCAAAGTACTGAAGAACAATGGTGTCTCTCTGGAGACTAAGGTGCATCTGGTACAGGCCATGGTCTTTGCAACCACTTGTTATGCGTCAGAGAGTTGGACAATGACCAAAGAGGATAGAAGAAGAATTGATGCCTTTGAGCTGTGGTGCTGGAGAAGAGTATTGAATGTACCATGGACTGCTAGGAAAACAAACAGATTCATCCTAGAAAGGGTTAAACCGAGTGGCTTCTTGGAGGCAAGGATTCTGAGGCTCCATCTAACATACTTTGGACATGTTGTGAGGAGAGACCGGTCCTTGGAGAAGGACATCATGCTTGAGGGACAGCACAGAAGGGAAAGGCCCTCTATGAGGGAGATTGATTCAGTGACTGCGGTAATCGGGATGGGTGTATCGGATACGGTGTGATTGGCACAGGACAGAGCAGAGTTTAGGCTGTTGTACATAGGGTCACTAGGAGTCACAAGCAAGTCGACGGCACATAACAACAGCAACATCCTCTCTGATTGGAGGTGCTACCATCCTTCTAACCCCCACCATCCCCCACAGCACCTCAGCATCTCCGACGGGCTTGCAACTTCCTCAAAGTGCAGTTGGTGCACAGTCCCCTGCCTGAAATGACCTCTCCCCCCTCACCTGTCCCCCCGTGAACTCCTATAACCCCCCCAAAACCCTTGAATTGAACTCAAAGCCTTGCTACTTAAGTCACTACTAGTAGTATGAACATCACTGGAAAACTTAGAAAATGCACATGCGTGGGCCTCGCCCTGAAATCTGCATTTTGGTAAGCTTCCTGGGTGATCTGTGTGTAGATAAAACTTGGAGAAGCACTGCTTTGTATTCTCCTGATTCCTTCATGGAACTCTTACACCCCACTGATAAAACAGCAGTGCACACTCATTTCAGGTGTGAGAGGGACCGAGGTAGTCAAAACCATTAACAACCCGGAAGGCTGGAGCTTCAGCCAATCAGGAAGCACTGTACACTGAAAAGAAGCATCCTCCTGGATGTGGCAGCACTGGTGCCCAGATGGCAGAGGGGGCTCACTTAGCAGCCTGCTGTGCTTGTGTGCCATGGGTCTGTTCTAATGCACAGTTACCCTGTATCTAAGTGCTATTTTAACACCTAGCAGAGCCATCACAGGTGAGCTAAACACAGCTTCGCTTAATAGGTAGGCTCTGGAGCTCTGGTGGCCTAGTGGCAAGGAGCTGCAATTACAATCCCAGAGGCGCACGGTTCGAATCCACCAGATGCTCTGCTGAGGAAGGAGGGACAATCTCCTCCTGTACCAGTCAGATCCGATTTGACGGTACACTCACACAAAAATAAAAATAAATAAATAAAATTAATAGGTAGGCTCTGACCCAGCTGGGATCGTTTCTGTATGTGTCTTGAACCACTTCTCTCACTGCAAGTGACTCCCTTGCACAAGCTCACACACATACACACTGCCCCGAACGTGGCAGCAAATAGCTGTTTTCTTGAGAAAAGTACTGCTGCGCTCCACTTTGCCCAGAGCAGCCTCCAGTATTCATTCTCTCCACAGAACAAGGACCTAGTTCCTGAGCCCACCAGCACTTCTCTGTCTCTCTCTCTCTCTCTCTCTCACACACACACACACACACACACCCATGTATACCATCCCCAAGACCCATGGGGAATGAGAAGAAACAGCTTCTGGGAGACACATGGCCGCAGCAAGCTCATTGCAACAGTTTTGCCATCTCCAGAGTCACCGCCGAGGCTGGAAGTCAGAAAGGAGAGGCTCATGCACCTTTCTTTGTGTCCCTGTAGGCACACTGCTACTACAACATCGTGAAGAGCTTTACACAAGTGCTGGATGAGCTGAGAAACGAGCCAGCGATTCAGCAGGTGCTCAAGCGCCTCTGTAACCTCTACGCCTTGCACTGCATCATGACCAACGCGGGTGACTTTCTCCATGACGGCTTCCTGTCTGGGGCCCAGGCAGACATGGCGAGAGCAGCCTACCTGGACCTGCTCCACCTGATCCGGTGAGTCTCCAGGGTCAGCCTTCAGAAGGGAGTCCAGAGACCTTTGTTTGCAGGGCGCTTCACATTCCAAACCTTAGAGCTCCCAAACCCGGCCCAGTGAGGTCTGGCCATAGCAGCAACAGCCCAGGAAGCAACAGCCCAACTCTAGCGTTAGGTAGGAATAAAGTGGTGGGCTCGTTAAAAATGACTGCGGGAGAAATCTTGGAAATATTAATGCTTAAGAATAAATCCTCTAGCTACCTCAGGTGAACTCTTCAACACTGTCACAGAAATAGGAAAAATATCTAAGCTACACCTTAACAACAGCACTCTTTTCCCCCTCGTTTAGATTCTTTATTTTTAAAACTGATAAAAAGATGTGTTTTAACATCTCTTACCAATGTCATTCAGTTAGTTCTGACTCAAGCTGACCTTCCAATGTATCAAACAACAGCACTCTTAATCAGGGCTAATATTTAAGGAGCACTTACAGTGTGGGAAGCATTGTGCCACAAACTTTTACATACATCATCTCATTTAATCCTCACAGCCCTTTGAAGTGCGGGTCGTTAATTGCCCAATTTTACCAGGCAGGAAATTCAGGCTTATGGGAGTTAAGTAACTTACTCAGAGTCACACAATTAGCCAAGAGGGAAAGTGTGTTACAACCTCACACCTGTCTGAGCCCAGAGTGTGCTCTTCGCCTGTGTGTTCATTTCCAGCACAGCTCTGCCTTTGTTGAATGTGCTTAAGCAAACTCTTAGCAAGTTTAGTAGACACGATTTCATCTTCCATCCACTTCAAGATGAAATTAAAAAAAAAAACACTACAAGTTATACATTGATTTGTGAGACAGTAATATAGTTCAAAATGCTCCATAAATGCAATGCAATTTAGGGTTATGAAATATTAACTACTTTGCTTCCATCCTGTTTATTTCATATACAGTCGAGATGATTACTTTAAAAGCAGATCAAAACCAAAGCCTGTTTGTGACCAGAGTACTGGAAGAACAGATATGCACTATAGACTGTAAATACAGAAATGTTGGCATAAGAACACTGTGGGGGTTTTTTGAAACCCCACTGGGCAAAAAACGATGCCTCAATTGTGGGCTCCGTGTGTGTATGAGAGACAGAGAGAAACTTTTCTCCAGAAGTTCCAATACTATTTATTATCAATAGAGCTAAGAGAATAAAAGGGGGAATATAAAAATTCTTTTAAAAAATGGAGATATCATCTTTTGTACCATTTATGACTTTGCAAAAACAACGAAGAGCTTTTATCTACCAGTAACTTAGTTTAATTAAATAATTAAAAATGGTCAAAAGGGCACTTGATGTGAAACTCCTGGTATTAAACGTTCCTCATAGAAATTAAGAATTCAATAATGGAAACTACATTAATGAACATAATTAAGTATTGCTCAATTCATGCTCAAGTGGGTCGGACTGTCTGAACCACATGGCATTTAAAACCATATGAAGAGTGCAACAATGAATGAATGAAAACCCAAAATCTCTGTAAATGTTCATTAAAATTAATAAAATTTAATAATTTAAAAAACCCAAAAACCATATGAAGAGTGCAACAATGAATGAATGAAAACCCAAAATCTCTGTAAATGTTCATTAAAATTAATAAAATTTAATAATTAAAAAAAACCCAAAAAATCATATGAAGAAAATAAAGTTTGTGCAGCCCTGATTAACAGTGATAATGAAACACAGATCGCCTTAACCCCACAAAGGCATAATTCTTTTACCAACAATAGCACTTCAATGTCCGTCCTGGCTCCAGAGACGTGAAAATTCAAGACAGACTGCACTTATACACACTGGCAACTCACACATGCCTCAAACCCACAGACAGACTGATTTAGGGATGTTACAGTTCCTAAGAGGCCGCCTGACAGCAGTCATCAGTTATGTAGCAGGTTCCACTCTTCATGGCTCTGTGTTACAGTCCCGGCCTTGATTATTCATTCCCTCTGTCAGATTTCTGAGACGTCATACTATTCTTGGTGACAGCAAGAAGCAGCTCCCTGTATGATGTTAATTAACTGACCCAGGTGATTTTACATTATTTAAGTGGACCAATAGTCTCAGTTGGGGACTTTCAGGTCAAGGTGGCAGTTTGAACTTACACGTTTACTTCTGTTCACTCTCAAAACCCTTAGTAAACAGTAGCAAATGGATTACTGTTCTTAAAAAGGTCTGCGCCCACTGAGACAAGGACAACAGGAGTGGAAATGTGAAAATTAGAAGGAATGACCTGTAGTAAGTGACTTAGACTTGAGAAAAGAAGATCCTGCACCAGAAATGGGGAAAGCCCAGGAGCAAACAGGTTACACAAGAGAACTCAAATCAACCGTGCCTGGAACCTGGGGCCTGGCGTGTGTGTGTGTGTGTGTGTGTGTGAGAGAGAGAGAGACAGACAGATAGAGAGACAGACACTGACAGAGACTGGCTCAAAGTCTATATAAGGAATTGGATTGCCCACTTCCCTTCTCTGTGGTAATTAAGTCTTTCTCCAAACCCTCCCTGGTGTAAGGTTAAAGAGAGGGTCTGTGGGCTGAGGAGCATCAGGTAGCCCTAAGGATGAGCTTGAAGAAGCCTTAATGGGCCAAATGCTGGCACCTCCTTCCCGCAGCCCTTCTCCTGCCCGTTCCCTAACTACTTGCGTCCACCAGGCTAGTGCCCTGTAGGAAGGTCCGATGACCCCTCTACAAAGAATCTGAATACTCCAAAGGGAAGGAGTTAAAGACACTGACTGACCACAGGGTCCCTCAGTGGTCCTCACAGTGCAGCCCACAGTGACCAGCAGCACATCCACAGGCCTCCCACAGCTGACACTCAGGGATCCCCAAACATCTGAGAGGAGCATTCAGCATAAAAGACAGAGACCAAAACAAGCAAGAACAATGTGACTCGGAGGAAACAGGGGCCCTGGAGGTGGCAACAGGGGCCCTGGAGGCAGGTGGTACTTGTTACTATAATGATGGAGATGTTGCAGCCACCAAACCAGAATATCTCTGAAATCTTAGAAACAAAAGTAGATATGGGGAAACTTGGCTGAAGGTTGGACAATGAAGTTGCAGAAATCTCACAGGAGATAAAAATGGAGTGGAGGAGGAGACAAGTGGATAAATTATAGCTGTCCATCATCTGGAAAAGAAAAAATGTCTAGAAAAAGACCATTGTCCCCTAGTGGTGCATATAGTTAATGCATTCCTTAACGCTGGAGGTTTGAACCCCTCAAGAGAAAGTTCTGGCTATCTACCTCCTTGCTAAAAATAAGCCACTGAAAGTCCTGTCAGCACGATTCTCCTCTGGCATACCTGAGGCCACAGGGAGTCACAGTCAAGGGGACAGTAACGGTCTAGGGGAAAAGAAAGACGGTGAGAGCAGAGAGCAGCAAATTCTTAACCAAAGAACTGAAGGAAATATTCTAAACTGAAGGCTATGTCTGTCTGAGAAAGGCTACGAATAATTGCAGAGACAGGCATGGACACACAGTAGTAGACTGTGAAGTAGGGGAGGTGGTCAGTGCTCTGGGAAAGGATAACAGGGAAGGGGCTGAGGAATGTGGAGGGGAGGGTGTCACTTTAAACAGGTCCTCCTGGGAAGTGACATTCCAGGGAAAACCTCAAAGAGGTAAGGGGGCCAGGTGGCTGGCTGGGGACGGAGTATTCCAGGCAGAAAAGAAATACAGGTGTCGGAGGCCAGAATGTGCTTGGCTGTGTCTGAGGAGGAGACCTCAAACCCGGGGTGGGTGACTGAGGTGCGGAATCGGGACAGAGGTCAGAGAGTTAGAGGCACACAAGGAGGGGGAAGGGGACAGTCGCTGCAAAGACTTAAGACTTTGGCTTTTACTTCGTGTGAGAATGGGAGGGCTTTGAGCATCAGCCAGAACCTGGAGTAACTTAGTGTATGTGCTGAGCCAATCACTCCTGTCCTCTTAGTAACAACAGGCCGGGAGGGGACCCAGAGTGAAAAACAAGGAGGTCAGTCAGGGGACTGGTGCAAGCGTCCAGTGAGAAATCACGGCAGACTGGCCTGGGGACAGCACTCAATTTGGTGGGAAGTAGCTGAAAGTTGGATGAATTTTGAAAGTAGAGAAGTGTTCTGTCCAGTGGGCAGAGTGGTCATTGGCTAGAAGTGGGGATGGTCAGAGGAGGCACAAGATGGGCAAGAAGACCAGGAGGCTTTTGGAGTGACGTCTGAAGAGCCCGTTAGAAATCCAAGTTCACCTGTCAGGTAAGCAAGTAGGGGAGACTGGAGATGCATTTGGAAGTCATTGACTTATGCGTGTGGGATTTAAAGCCACAAGGTTGGATGCTGTCACAAGGAGCACGTGCAAGAAGTGCAGTGTCTTGAGACACTCCCAGGTGCAGCGATTGGGAGGTCGAGGAGGTAGCCATGACCGTGTCACTCAAGTGATGGGAATGAAAACGTGAATTGGTCCAGGTCACAAGTAGAACTGGAAATTATAAACATAAATGAATTATGTCATAAAAGGAGAGCCAAGGTATAGCATGGATGATGGAGGAGGAAGAGTCTCGCAGGCCTGTTTTCCAGATGGGAGAAAGGACAGCATGTTTTTATATCGGTGGCCATGACTCTGTAGAAAGGAGAATGGATGTGATGTTGTGTAGAAGAGGCACGAGTCCTTGAACAACTTTCTCCAGTCGGCAAGAGGGGAAAGCTTACTTGAACCCTATAATTATAAGGTTGTTTTCTCCCAGTTATATATTAAGGTGGAGGCACAAAGTTGATGGGGGAAATAGAATATATTATAGTGTTCATTAAACAGGTATGACAAAGTAAAAAAAAAGTTGAAATTTTAAGGGAATGAATATTATAGACAATGACATTTCAGCTGGATAAGAACAAAAATGAGAACACAAGAGGGATGCAGGGGTGGGGGGGGCATTAAAATAAGTGGCCATGCCATTAAGTCAAAAAGTTGTACACAGCCCTGTATGAGGCAGGACTTGATTTGTTGTACACAGGGTTTTCATACGAGAAGGAGCTGATTTGACAGCAGCTAACAACAACATATCCAAGCACCTTAGAATGATGATTAGCGGTCATCAAGAAAAAATTAAATTAGGTGCAGTATGTCAGTCACCTCAGATGCTTTGTGAAATCGGTTAGGGAAAGTGTAAACCATTACTCACATACTATATTTTACAGCTTTTGCTAAAAGGAATGAAAGCCTTAAAAAATATAAAAGCTTTTTAAAATGAAACCCTTTTTAAACATTTCTTTTATTTACATATTTTCCCCCAAGGATTAAAAGTTTAATAAAAGGTTCCTAAGAATGTAAACATCCCCTCCAGTGTTGCTGTAGAATAGATTTAGGTTCAGTTTCTGTTACTTATTGTAACAGGTTCAAACAAAAACATAATTTGTACTAAAGAATTAGAAAAGCCGAAACAGTGGAAAGAGTACACCAGACAGATTTCTAGAGCCTGTCTCCTCCGGGCTGGTTCCGACTCATCGTGCCCCTGTGTGCGCGAACAGAACGGCCACAGCCTCCTCTCTCCAAGCTGGTGGGGGGTTAGAAAGGGTTTCCTTCTGCTGGCAGGTGAGTGCTTAACCACTGAGCAACCAGGTTCTTCCTTTTAGACAGACGGGTAGTAAAAAGAGCACGGCTGGGATTACAGACACATTGCAGGTGTTGATGACAAGATTTTAGTGTGTGATCTTAACAGGGAGGGAGGGAGAGTGTGTGCAGAGCAGAATTAGTGGGACAGATTCAGAGAACTGAGGCCAAGATTTCGATGGAACATCCACACAGACAATAAAATCACTGTGTCTTACAACAGGATAGTGGCGGGGAGAGAAACAGTGAGCGCAGGGGGAGAGCACAGCAACAGAAGTGAGGCGGGGATGGCCCAGCTGTGAACGGGATACATAAGGTCGTAATAATAAAAACACCGTTTCTAGTCAAATGTGTAACTCCATTGGAAAGCAGCAGAGCCAATAGGAAGATGCCCCCCACACCACCCCACTAAGGCAAGGGGGCCAGAGTCTATCCTACTGGAGAAATCAGTCATTGCCTTTCAAAATGGAGAGTTGATACCTGAAAGCAGAAAACCAAAAGCAGCATATAAATATAAAATATTTAGAGACATTTGGGTAAATGGGGAAAATAATCAGCTGAAAGTCTGAAACAAGGATATACTGGATTTTAACTTTCGTTCAAATTTGTTACTTTAATTACAGTCCCCACGTTGTAACGACACGCTTCCAGCTGCATCCCATGGTTCTTATTTCTGTTCACTCTTCTGTCCCATCCCTCTGTGGTTCCTGAGCTTTACCCCCGGTTAGATCCTTCCCTTCTCTTCTTGGCTGGTTGACTGTTCCAAGGTGCACCTTGTCACTCTGCTCTGACCAGCAGGAAAGTGCTGGGCACTCAGAATGATCATGACCTGTAGTCCTCATTGCTTTTATTGAGAAGTTTCTCATTACCTGTTGTTGTTGTGTACCGTCGAGTCAGCACTGACCCACAGCTAACCCTTCAGTGCGTTTTCAGAGAATGGCATGGGAAGAGACTGCCCATCCTTCTCCCACAGAGCAGCTGGTGGATTCAAACCACATGCCTTTGGGATTGCAGAGCATCTACTTGCTACTAGGCCACCAGTGCTCCCTTTCATTGCAATAAAATATGTTAAATGGAGTCCAAGATGTATTTTCTGTCTCCTATTTGCTGACGTTCCCTGTTTCCATAACCACATCCATATCAGCGGGAGAATCAAGGTCTTGCAATATCACGCAGGGGGTTTGCTTTGTCTTAACCCAGGCAGCTCCTGCCTGCCTGGGTCAGCTTAACCCCTACAGCACTTCCCTGATGTTCACCTTAGATGTCTGTTGTGAGGCTGAAAGTTGAGCTACAAGAGTGAGTTCAGCTCCAGACTCAAAGAGTGATGGAGGATTATAGTGTCAGGGGGTTCCACCAGCCTTTGTTAGACCCGCAAACCTGGCCATTTTTACGCCTTTGGGTTTTGTTCCACATTTTGCTCCTACCTAGTCCATGACCCTCTACTGTGATCATTTTAGATTGGTCAGAAATGGTAGCCAGGCAACACGAGTTCTTCTCATCTCAGGGTTGTGGAGGTTAAGGTTCATGGCTAAGGTTCTATTTGTCATTTAGACCAAACTTTTCTATGCATCTTTGCTCCCCTTCCGTGTTCTGGACAGAGTCACCTTAGATGACGGCATACAAGCTTTTGAGATCCTGGTCTCTACTTACCAAAGTAGAATGCAGAACATTGTCTTTGGGAGCTGTTAACACAGCTGACCTTGATGTTCCTTTAGACCCAAGGACCCAGAATCTGCAACTTATTGCTCCAGGCTGTTTGGTTAGGATTAAGAAGCTTGCATCACTTTGCTGCCTGTTGGCCCTGCTAAATTCACAGCTGTATGCAGAGCACACAAATAGGCACGTAGGATCATCTGCCAAACCTGTGTATGGTTGAGGTGTTGTCCCTTCACCTGCCCGCGTCTGACCCTCCTGCCTGCCTGCCTGCGTATCCACTTTAAGATTGTTATTAGTGATAATGTAGGTTTATGTATATAATAATGTTTACTTTTGCTGTCTAAGGATATGCTGTTTTTAAAATAACAAGCCTTAGAGAACTACCTGACTCTTTATAGTATGCATATATAATGGATAAAGTAGTAAAGACCTAAAATATTGTTTCTCACACATTCCTTCATTCACACTGCTTCATATCTTAATTAACCATGTATTGTTTTAGAAACTTAATCACAATTGAGCTATGCCTACTATAACCCCTTCTTTTCAGGTCTCCTATAGAACTTTACTAATTCCTTCACCCCCTCCCTCCACCCACCAAATTCCAGTGACCTCGTGATTCCCAACCGCCCCACCCCCCAGCTCCTTGCTCCCCTCCCTTCCTCTTTCGGACTTTCATCCACATCATACTAGTTATCTTATCCTTCCCATTTTATGCTAATGGTCTTATGCAGTATTTGTCCTTACGAGACAGAATTAGTTCACTCAGTATAATGCTCTCCAGCCTCATATGTGAATGAAACACAATGAATCTGAATTGTGTATGCAAACCAATATAAAATTTTTTTAAAGAACAAAAAAACCCTAAAATAAATAAAGCTTGATTGTTGGAAAAGTGAGTAATGCAAATTACTGGGTGTCATTATTCACCATTACATAGTAATTAGAGCCATAATGGAAATCTCACACAATCTTATTTTCTCAGGAAGGACGCCATCTTGTTAACCGATGCTTTTGACTTCACTGATCAGAGTTTAAATTCAGCACTTGGCTGTTATGATGGAAATGTCTATGAACGTCTGTTCGAGTGGGCTCAGAGGTCGCCAACCAATACTCAGGTAGTTGAGTGCAATTTATTATAAATTATTTAAGAGAAGAGAACCAGCGGTGAACACACATCCATGTTTCCCCACTTTAATTGATTTCCATTAGGTTGAAAATCACTTGGCATAGTATGTCTGTTTAAAATATTTTTAGCAAATACATAAAAGAAACCAGGAGCGGGGATGTGGCTTGGCAGGAGTTCTGAGCCTAGACTGCAGTCGGCAAAATGGACTGCTTGGAACTTGGTAAAGGGAATTAGGAGGAAGCCCCAAGCTCTAAATCACGGCTCAACATACCCAAGGGCTTACACACTCAAAGCCGTGAACTGGCTTTTAAGTAACAAAAATAAGAAGATAAATCACTGCGGTGATTTAACCATCTCATTTTCAGCCTTTTAGCTTGCTTTTGCGTAGACATAAGGGAACATTCAGAAGTGATAGCTTGCTTGAGGGTGGGGGGCTGTGGGGGCATCTCTCTCAGACCTGACTGCCCACTACGGACCTCCCTCCCCTTTACTCCGAGGGACACAATGCCAGTAACAAAGAAGGCTGTAGCACAGCCCTCACTAGCCCAGCAAAGCCATAAAAATAACAATACAAGGGTTATGGTGAGGTCCCCGCTGTCCCAGGAGATAATACCAAGACTCTATATCATTAAATGAGGGAGAGTGGGGGAAGGGGAGCTCCCACAATCCAAACAGTTTGGGGTCAGAGTCCCAGGCTTTCCGCTGTGAGCTTCACTGGGAAGAGTGACAAATGTCAATGAGAGTGAGGAAATAAACTGTGCTTAGAATTTAGAATATGTAATGCAAATTTAATATAATGATCAGAACAAAGACAACCTATAGGTACACAATAGGTTAAGTTCTACAAAGCAAATGTGTTTGCAACTTAACTTTTTTACCTCTTCAGCCAAATTTCAGAAAAGGTATCTTAACACCTCATCAGATTGGCAACTCTAGGGCTTTCATTCACACGTAGCATGGTGTTAGATTCACTCTTAACAATGTGCATTCTGTCACACCTTATAGCTTAATTAAAATGGTTATCTAAAGTTGTGTCACAACCAGTTACTCCTAAAATGGGGAGAAACTAATTCATTACGGTCATTCTCTATCTCCTAAAAGACATACTTTAACCTCAACAATATAAACAGTTACCTAGAGAAGGCGTGGCATGTCTCTGCTTAGTGTGGTCAAGATCTTTCAGACGCATTATTTTTTAAATGATTAGATCTTTCTCCTTTTAACAGTTAAATCATGGTATAAAAATAACAGCAGTTTTCCCTGTCTACTTTAGCTCCTGGGATCTAAAGTAAAAGTCTGCCCTCTGGTGCTCCCAGGGCCTATCCTACTCAAATACATGCTGAGAAATGCTACAGCATACAGCTCAAGTGTGTTTTACTAGCTACACCAAGAAGCATTCCAATTCTTGGATTTCAACCCCCCGTACTGAATGAAGCTTTACTCTCTAATATCTAAAGATTCGGGTAAATGAGGGACAGATTAACCCACAGCATCAACAGGATCTGGCAAACCACTGGTGCCCTTCACTTCATTCACTTACCTCTCTCTCTTTCCTCTAGCCTGGTGGAAGGGATGGTGGGCTCTCCTTCCTAATTCCAGGATCTGTCCAAGAGCAGACACTAGTTTAAAGGATAGATGAGCATGGGATTATGGCCTTCACAGTGAGGAGGAGGAACTTGCTGCATATAATATGCTGTAGATGCTCAAGATCCTAGCTTACAGTTGTCAATTGAGACTCACAGTGACCTCCTGCGACAGAGTGGAGTGTCCCTCAGGGTTCTCTGCTAGATATAATCTGCACGGAAGGAGACCACCAGGTCTTTGTGCCAGAGTCACTGCCTGGGTGTGAACCGTTCGGTTAACAGCTGAGCGCCGGCTGTGGAGCTGTGGGACTCCTTCAGTGTATACCACACCTTGCTAAAAAGGTGACAGGCACAGCAATGCCGCAAGTTAAGAATGTGTAGTTATCAATGACCTTGGAGAACTGTTCTAGGCCGTTAAATGGCACTCTTGATTTCTCAACACATTCCTCGCTCCATCACCAAAAAAGCACTTTTAGAGGCAGTTTTTCTAACCTGCTTTACATGATTGTGAAGATGCATTCAGAGACTTCCCCTCATTTGCATTAGAAGGAAAAGGGTTATCTCAAATAAAACATTGTTACACTGAAGCATGTCTTGTAGACAAAAATGCAACTGGGAATATATTTCCCTCATCTTCTTCATGACAAGAAAAAGGCTATGTTTAGATAAGGGTCATAGCAGTCTCTTGTGCCTGAGATGAGTTACATGTTGAGATTTATCTCCAGATAAGATGATGCCCTCAGCCATGATAGCTGCCTTTTCTCCTGAGCTGGATGCTATTTCAAGCCATTTTCTCCATCGTGAGCTGCAAACAGCTTCTCCTCCCTCCCGATGTAAATTCATCTTTAAGTAATTTCCTATCAACTCAAAGAGTCAAGGAACCACTGGGTATAATTTCAAAATAAGAACCTTATGTCCTCCCAACTATTCAATTGTAGGAGTTTGTCCTGGCAGCTAGCTGGGCCTAACACATCTGAGTCATTCATTCAGTCATGCCAAGCACAGAAAGTGGCCTGGGTACTTGGGGTACAGTGGAGGACAAAAGAACACAGTCCCTGTTTCAAGGAGCTTCCAGTGTCATAGATTAGATGGAGAAATTAATAAATACTATAAAAAATAAAGCGAGAGCTAGGGAGGGAAGAATTCAGACACTGAGTGAGAGTAAAATGGAGATCATCTCTTTGACATAAAATACTGCTTACCCAATCCATCCTGGCTTTGTGGTAAGTGTTCAATTTCCAAGGGCCTCTAAGAGTCAACCCTTTTATTCTTATTAAATTCCCAAGCCCACTGCATTCAAATCAAATTCCTCCTCACAGCAACTCTACAGAGAGAGAAGTGCCCCACAAGCCAAAAGCAAATGATCGATACACTGTGTTATGGTGTTTGTTTTGTTTTTTAATTGGCCACCTGCATTCACAATCTAAAATCCGCATGAGACAAGGAAGGATGCCCTTTGGAAAAAATGTTTCTCCATATGTTCACACAAAGTGAATTTTAAAAATAATTTTGAAAATTAAGGAACTTACGCAATGTTACTTTTTGGAGCTAAAAGCTTAATTTGAAAGTAAATGTCATTAATTCTCACAGAAATATTCCATGTTAATAATGCATTTCTTTCTGCACACAGGAAAATTCTGCCTATGAGAAGTATTTAAAACCACTATTACAAAATCGGAGAGCCAAGTTATAAGAAAGAACCAACAGTGTTCAAGAGCCAAACAGCAACACTATGTGAAAATAGTACTATGCCAATATATATAAAATTATATTTTAAAATTACACTGTATGTGTGTATGTGTGTGTGTGTTTTTAAAGAGAGTCTTTATCTTTTGAAGGTATATTCTGAAGTATTTAAAAATAAAATTATAACATCTGTCACTTCAAACTAATCCAGGAGGAAAAAGCAAGAGTGAGTATTTGTTGGTCAATGGTCACACAATATTCATTATCCTCCACAATAAAACAGTATCACTACCCATTTGCAGTACCTATTTTGTTGAATACTAAGTTTCTTTGCTTTAAATCTAGCGAAAGTTAACAGACTCTAATTAGTCTATGTCTGTCTTTAGCATATACAGATTCTAGGACTTCAATGAATACACACTTGCACACACAAGCTCTCTCTCCTCCCTAACTACCTCTTGGTAGTTTAATTATAACTAAGTATAATTAAAATATAATTTTAATAATAATGATTATTAGGGCCCTAACCATGCAGACTAACACGAATTTTTAAAAATCAAATCTTCCACAACGGAAATTACCTTAAAACTTCACACTAACAGAAAATAAATGTACAAGTAGTTAAAAAGAACAACAAAAAAACTTCACACTAACACACATACTTGATTCAAATTGTCCCTATAAATAACAAGGCAACACTTTTCACATAACTTTCAACCGACCAAGATAAAACACTCTAAATTAAATGTCACTAAGCAAATTAATTTGTAAAAAAAAAAAAAAAACACACCACCACCTCAGCTGGCTACTTTTCCAAGTTTACTTATATAAACATTCATTTCCCTGTAGATAATAAAATACATCTGAGGAAATTTACCAAATGCAAACTTCTGTCCACTAAATGGTGCCAGAAAGAAATCTCCTAAGATTTTAACTTCTGAAAATTTAGAGCTAGTATTATTTCCATTTCTGTACCTATTCTCAACTCCAGTGATTTTACTGTACACTTAGCTAATGCAATAATAAATGATTGATTTTTCAGGTAAACCACCAATTAATTTGAAATGGTTTTCCAAAATTATAGCCTTGTATTAGCACACTGATGTATTAAAATCACGGTCACCTGTCAATGACACTGAAGTGTGAAGTCTGATTTTGGTATGAAGATGGTGGAAAGGGGACTAGTAGAGGTTTCCGGGTGCTAGTGTAGTGATCATTTATCATACCTGAAAGGAGATTTTCAGACGACGGGCAAAAAATGTTTGTAGTCAAGTGTTCTCATTCTTGTTAAGGATTGAACTATATATATCTCTCTCAAAAAAATGCACTAAGAAATTTTATTTTTTGATGTGTTGAAATCTTAACCTCTTCACCCAGACATGACTTGTTTGGAAATAGTGCTTTTCTTTGGTTAACAGTTGAATTCAAGAAGGTCATACTGGAGTGGAGTGGGTCCTAATCCTTGTCGTGCATCGCGTACCACTGAGTCAGAACTGACCCACAGCTGATGCTTCTGGGGGTTTTCAGAGGCAGTAACTGCACAGGAGGAGTTTGCCCACCCTTCCCCCGTGGGGCAGCTCGCGGATTTAAGTCACGTGCCTTCAGGACTGCAGCGCAGATTCTTAACGCTAGGCCACCAGCCCTCCCGCTCCTAATCCTTAGTAGGTGGTATAACAGAGAAGTAATATTCAACTCAACTATTGTCAAGTTGCAGCCAACTTATAGCTGACCCTCCAGTGAGTTACCAGAGGTTGTAAATCACACGGTGGAGATGGCCCATCTTTCTCTCATGGAGCAACTGATGAATTCACGCCTGCAGAGAGGCACGACCTCTCGGTTAACAGCCCAATCCCTTAGGGATTATGCCACCAGAGCTCGTAATACAGCAGAAAAGACAAGGGGACATCTGTGAGTCAGAGAATAAGAAATGCAAGCGGTTATCAGAAACTGAAATATAAACCAAAACCAGGAAGGATTCCCCCCTGAAGGGTCCCCCCAAGGGAGCCCCCTCTTGAAAGATCCACCTGAAGGACCCCCTCCCTGAAACATTCTCCTCCCCTCCAAAGAATCCCCCTGCAGAGAGCAGCCCTCTCCCACACCCTAAGTTTGGACTTCTAGCCCCAAGAACTGGGCAGAGGAGAGAGTTCTGTTCTTTAAAGACACCTCTTTTTCAGTATTGGGTTGTGGCAATTTAGGACATAGATAAACCACTTTTCAGAGAACCTCAGACTCTCCTCACAGACTTTAGGTTCTCCAGGTATGATCTGCCCCGAGGGCACAGCCATGAAGTGCCACCTGTTTCTTGGAAAATCAGGGAAGAAAATGGCACGCTTTCCTTCTGAAAAGTGCTCTAGCCAAACAGGAAGAGTCATGGGGAAAGTAGCTCAAAATGAAGTAGACAGACGGGTGGCTAAAGCAATGGGCTCACGTATGTCAGAGACCAGGAGGACAGCACACGCTCAGGCCAGTCGTGTACAGTGTCACTGTGAGGCGTATTCAACTCGACCACACCTGAAAACAACAATCCTTCCTCTGAGTGACTTCCAAGATAACAGAATCAAATCAAGTGCCTCAAATGGGAAATATAATGAGGTGAAATGTTAAGTACCCATTTCTCAAAGGTTCAAAACCTCCATTTCTTCTAATCAGAAACAAACTTACCTTTGACACTAAAAAAACATTTGTGAGTCTCCATATTTCACTAAAGTAGCTAAAGAATTTGTTGATCCTGTGCCTATTATGAGTACAAAGTTGGATTCAGCCATGATGGTGACTGGAGCTATCAATTGGTGGCTTACTAAAGAAAATTCTATCAACTCCAACGTAAGTCCCATTTGAAAACAACTGTAAGTTCAGTGTTCATACAGCGACTCTCTTCAGATCACCTCAGTAATGCCTACCTTCTGCTTAAATGGCACTGTTGAGTTCTGATCAACTGTAAGCAACCCCGTATCCCACTGAGACCCCTGAAATCAACTACAAATGTGCTAGAGACAGTAGTAGATACTGAAATGGAAAACGATGCATTCTTTAGACAAGGAAAATGATTTTCCCCTTTAATAGTAACAGCCAATAAATACAAACCTAATTTTCATATTTCACTTTTTTATTACCTCTTTTCCTGGTAGACAGTACACTTGAGAATTATACTGGACCAGGCATAGAAAGTAAGAGTTCTACCACAGGGACATTTTGTATCTGGAATCCAATATAAATATTTCTATTCAGACATTTCCATGGCTACAGATATTTGGTTGCTTGATTTATATGCATAGAAAGAAACAGTTGTCACAACTGTAAAAAGCAGTACTTAACAAGTACTTTAAAATGATTGGAACAGTTTTCCTTTACTATTACAACACTGTTTATTGGTCTGGCAACTTAAGTCACCGTGCAGGATGTTTTGATTTTTCTCAAAGGCTTCATGAGCACTCAGCATTTCCTTTCATTCCTGCATTTTTAACTGTCTAGTTGAGTTAAGGACCATTTAATCAGATATAATTTTAGCACTGTAATTTAAAAAAAAAGGCTCTGTTAAAGGGTAGATTATATACCATAGTGATTTCAAATTTCTTTTTATAAAAAAGGTATCCGGAGATTGAACAGGCACACGCATGCTCGGAGTGAAGGGAACAGACGTGGAGGAGTTGGCTGAAGCACACAACTTCCTTTCTGGACCTCAACTCCTTCAAATAAATACAATTTTTAAAAAAAAAGGAAAGAAAAGAAATCCCACACTGTGATTTAAAAAACAAAACAAAGCCAACCAGTCTCTTCCACATCTCCCGGGAAGTTCATTTCCAGGAGCTTCTGGGGCGGCATTCAGTCGTCTGTCTTGCGGGCCAGCCTGCAGAAAGTCCAGTTGTGCTCCACCGTGTTCTCGTTGGCCCGTTCACTCATGTGATGAACCCGCGTGTTGCGGATCGTGAAGCCTTGTTTCGTAATGTATTCCATCAGATGCACCCGGAGAGAAACTTCCTGGTGATAATCACAAGGTCCGAAAGTAAAGGAGACCTGGCAGTCTCTGGTGTCCATCATGTGCTTGTTCCACTTGGTAAAATAGTTTGAGATGCCTTCTAGTAAGGAATGGACCTTGGTGGTGATGGTTAATTGAGTTATGATGACAGCTACTGGGTTAGAGTACTTAGAAAGCTTCCGAGTACTGGATAACTCCACAACTTCTTCAAAAGTATCCACAGGATACAAAGGCTTAGGGTCATTGAGACACTGAATCAAGGGTTCAATCTGATAAAAATCTGCTTCTTTTCGAAGCAGATCAAACTCCTTAAAGTCCAGGGGTAAAGTCAACTCTGAAGTTCTTAAAAAGTTGAGGACATATCGGAAAAGAGGTCCATCTCGATCAATGAAGTAATTGCCTTGAGGGTCTCGAGCTGTGGGGAAGTCTCCGCCAAACATGGCTCCAAGCATAGAATCTGGGTAACGTGTCAGTGTGGTGAGAGACGTTGTATACAAGTGTCCACCTACATTTAATGTGACCGGGTCAGTCATCTGAAATGAAAAAAAAAAAAAAAAAAATTAAAAAAAAAATAAAATAAATCAGTCACCTGAAATGAAAAATTTGAATCCTAATTTTGCCAAATTTTAAACATTAAGAGTAATGGGCAAAGCAAGAGATTCCTCCACGCTATGATGTATTTAGCAAAAGCCATTTTACATTAGTTAAGTCTGTTGTCAGAGACCTCTCCAAGGTACTGAGGAGCAATGATGTCATTTTAAAGACTAAGATGTGCCTGGCTCAGGCCATGGTCTTTTCAATCACTTGCTATGCATTTGAGAGCTGGACAATGAATAAGACAGACAGGAGAATTGGTATCTTTTCGTTTCTGTGTCTGAGAATAATACTGAATATTTTGTGGACTGCCAAAAGAACAAACAGGTATGTTCTGGAGAAAGTGGAGCCACAGTGGTCGGTGGAGGCAAGGATGATAAAGCTTCATCTCACATATTCTAGGCATGCTGTTGGGAGGGGTAAGTCCTAGGAAAAGAATATCATGATTGGAAAGGTCAACGAGAGAAGGTAAAGACTCCCAAGGAGCTGGACTGACACGGTGACTGTAACAGTGGGCTTGTGTATGTCGGAGTTGACAAGGATGACCCAGGAGAGGGAAGATTTCAGATCCACTGTTCACACTCTCACTGGGCGCTGCAGCGAGTGGACTTGACGCCACCTAACAAACACTGCTAATAATGAGGTAACTTTCCTCAGTAATAAACCTGTCCAGACTGAGAGACTTAACATTTGCTTTTAATCTGAAGAGAGGGGAAAGTTAAAATCATTTCTTTAACGAGTTACTCAAAGAACGGAGGCAGGAACTTGTAGAGTGACTTACGTTTGGGCCCCACAGCTACAGCTTTCAGGTTAGAATATACAACAGGAAGGAAAAAGCCAAACTAGAATATATTCAGGTAAATTTTTTCCTGATTTTTTTAAAAAAGATTTTTCATTTTTTCTTAACTCAGTTTAATATAAACAACACTCTTGGCACCAACAGTCAAAAAAATCAAAAGATTAATTGATCTGGAAAAGGCTTCTGTCAGAGAATCTCTCAAAAGTGCTGAAGAGCAATGATGTCAGTTTGGAGACTAAGGTGCATCTGATCCAGGCCATGATTTTCAAAATTACTTGCTATGTATCAGAGAGAACTGGACAATAACCAAAGATGACAGAATAAGAATTGCTGCTTTTGACCTGTGATGCTAGATATGATAGTATATGAACATATGATAACTGCCAAAAGAACAAATAGATTTATCTCAGAGAGGGTGACAGCAGGCTGTACATAGGAGGCAAGATTTTTGAAACCGCATCTCACATACTTTGGCCATGTGGCCAGACGGGACCAGTCCTTGGAGAAGGACATCATGGTTGGAAGTGTGGAGAGACAGCTCAGGAGAGAAAGACCTTTGATAAGATGGACTGACAGAGTAATTGGGGTCATGGAGTAGGTGGGTCATAGACTGGCTCAGGATAGAGCAGGGTTCACCACTTCTGTACATAGGGTCGCTATGAATTGTAGGTAATTTAGTGGCACCGAGCAACAACAACAGAAATGCACCTTATTACAAATTTCCTGGGCTTTTTTTCTCTCTAAAAAAAAAAAATTTAGGAAAATCATTAAATTTATTTTGAAAATAAATATAGCAGGTCTGATGGAAAATACAGAAATGGTGATTGTTGAATATGACAAATATATGTCTACCACTCAACTGTACATGTAAAGATAATTAAAATGGCAAATATTTACCATACTTAAAAAGAAGAGAGCGAGAACTATCAAGTCTAATCTTGACAGCTTTTTCATGGACGTATTATTTTTTAATACCCAATGCCCTCCAGTCAATGAAGAACCACCACCACCACCCTCTATCCTGCTCCCAGCACTGAAATCTCCACAGGAGGAGACTGTTCACCCTCAACAGAGCAGTTAGTGGATTTGAACTGTTAAACTTCCAGTTAGCAGTGTAAAAGGTAACCCATACTACCTAAGTGTAGAGTATTTTTTAAATCCAATTTAAAAGGTCCAGTTTACTCAATGTTGTTGTTGTTGTTATGTGCCATCGAGTCGTTGGCGACTCATAGCGACCCTATGTACAACAGCCCTAAACCCTGCTCTGTCCTGTGCCAATTACATGGCCTCTGACACACCCATCCCGATTACCGCAGTCACTGAATCAATCCACCTCATAGAGGGCCTTCCCCTCCTGCGCTGTCCCTCCACCTTACCAAGCATGATGTCTCTCTCCAAGGACCTATCTCTCCTTACAACATATCCAAAGTATGTCAGACGAAGCCCCAGAATCCTTGCCTCCAAGGAACAGCCTGATTTAAAACCCTCTCCAGGATGAATCTGTTAGTTTTCTTGGCAGTCTAGGGTACATTCAATACTTTTCTTCAGCACCATAGCTCAAAGGCATCAATTCTCCTTCTATCTTCCCTAGTCATTGTCCAACTCTCTGATGTATAACAAGTGATTGCAAAGACCATGGCCTGTATCAGGCGCACCTTAGTCTCCAGAGAGACTCAATATATCAAGCTAAAAAATAAATCATAATTTGATAGCATGTTCATTTACTTTTGAAATTTTAGTTGTTACAATCTGGCCTTTAATTTTTAGAAGTAGTCTAAATAACACATACTTTTTTCCTTAAAAATTATATTCATGCACAAACATCTATGAATGGGATCTTCTAAAAATTAAGTCCCTGTGTTCATAAAAAACTTTTCCAATAGGATAAAAAGAAAACCTACACACTGGGAAAAAAAATTTGGCAATGCAATCTCAGACAAGGGTCTCATAATGAAAGTTTACAGAATCCTACAGGGTCTCTGCAAGGAAAAGATGGATAACACAATCACAAAATGGGCAAAAGACATAGAAAGACTTTTTCACAAAGGAAGACATTTAGATGGCCAACAAATAAATGAAGACATGCTCAGACTCACAATAAGAGATGCAAATCAAAACCACAATGAGATACCATCTTACCCCAGTAGTAGTAGCAAAGTTCAACAGGACAGCAAAAAAATAAATGTTGGAGAGGATGTGGAGAGATTAGACCTCTCATGTACTGTTGGTAGGACTGTAAAATGATACATCAACTGGGGAAGGCTGTTTGACATTTCCTCACAAAGCTGAACATAGAAATCCCACATGGGCCAGAGACGGAGTTCCGCCTCCAGAGACGGAGTTCCGCCTCCAGACACGGAGTTCTGCCGTCAGACCAGGAAGAGACCCAGGAATAGCAATAGTCAGCCATCCACCGCGGAACTCCAGAGGAGCGAAGACTACCTGACACTGTGCGACACCCCCCTGCAGCCCGTACCTGTGTGACCCCCGACCAGCGGGACCCAAGCCCCACCCCCCCTCTTGGTGGTAGTGTCCAAGCCCTGCGCTCCTTACCCCCCTAGTCCCTTGCTTCCACGCACCTCAGCCCACACCACAGCCCTGTGAGCTCAAGGCACCACCTTGGATCCAGCCGTCACCTGGAGCTATCAACTGAGCTGTTGTGGAACTAACCTGGCAGAAGAAAGGCCGTAGGATCTTATCTGTGTTTACTGGGGCTGATTATCTGGGAGAGCACCTAAGGGCGTGCCCACAGGTGGGGAAATTGGCCAGCTCTCTTGGGTTCC